GTGTGGGTCCTGAAATTTCTCTAGAAGACCACCTCTCTGTTAATATCGCCCCTGGGCAACAAAGACAGGGGGAGCTGGGTACCTACCTTGTCCCTGTTCCTGTATGATAACACCTTGCCTTTGCCGAAGCCCTCCCTCGCAAGGATATGTAGGGTTCGCAGCCTGTTCATTTGAGAGATGCAGTGGCTCGAGTTCCAGCATTACCTCCAGCGCTGCCGTCGGGCATGTGCGCATTGCTCCCGTTATGCAAACACATGCCACACGTTGAATCTTGGAGAGGGTCTGCCTCACCGTTACCATAGTAGTCCTGGAATACCAAGCCACCGCACCATAAGTCACTATTGGTTTCACTATCATGGTGTACATCCATCTGAGGATCCTCGGAGTGCACCCCCGAGGATTTACCCGCAAGACGTTTGCACACCATCATCGCTCCCGTGGCCTTAGATGTAACCGCCTCAACATGGGCCCTCCACAGAAGCTTGGAGTCCAGCCTCTGCGGCGACACTGATTACGACCCCGTCCAAGGTCAAGTTCCTAATCCCCTGGAGAATTCGTTTCTTAGTGAAGGCGACTATAGCTGTCTTAGAAGGGTTGATATTTAAACATACCTCTGCGCACCACCTTTTTGCAAGGTTAAGTCCTCTTTGGACGATGTCTCAGAGAGTACTTGCGAACTTCCTCCTAGCGATAATCTTTATGTCGTCCGCGTACCCTTGGCAACGGACGCCCTCGTTAGTAAGTATCAGTAGGAGTTCGTCCACAACCAAGCTCCATTCTAGTAACCTAAACCTTTCCCAAGGCTTAATCACTAGGGCGGTAACGGTTATAATCCTAAAGCGCTGCTGAAGGCCGCCTACGCAGAAAGGTATTCTTCGCAAAAATACTGTGGACGCAAGTGAAAATTGTGATTTTTAGCCATTTTTCTAAGGGGTCCCTAGGGACCCATAGGGGACCTAGGTGGTCGGGGGTTGCATTTATGTCAATGGCGGTTCACGCCCTCTCAAAAAAGGTGCCACGCCCACTCCCCCTTTGCCCACCGCCCCTTTAATGAACGCCCGTGTTGGAAAGTTTCTACAAAATCGATACTTCGATAAATAATGAAAATTTTTTATAAAAAATCGCGCGATTTTTCACTAAAAATTTTGGTAAAATTTTAGCAGACGGACGGCAAATTCTAGGAAAAGGCGGGCTGAGGAGGGGTAGAAAATAACCCACTGATTTCAAAGATACCCTCCATTTTTCGAGCAACCCCATAGTTCTTATATAATTTGTTGTTAAAATTTTCGTATAAACGACGAATAAGATAGCAAAATAACATCAAACTTGGTGCTGCCAGACTGGAATTTTGAATAATTAAAGCGGATTTTTAATTCGGAATTTTCACTAAGTAGGCGGCCTTCGGCCGCGCTTTAGGATTATAATCCTTACCAAATAGAATTCCTCTTTTGGTGTGCACCAACTGGGGCTACCGCCACAGTGATGTAGCCTTGGGAAAGGATAAGGTAACTAGAATTCCCTTTCTGTGTGGTAAACCTGGGGCTGCCGCGCCAGTGATGTCTATTATGGTCACGAGCAGGGCTAAGACCCCTATCGTTCCCAATATAGATTTTTCCAATCAGCGATATGTACGTATTCTGCACGTATTGAGCATTGCCTCCTTTGTATGTATTGTTTTGTACAATATAGCAACACATGTTATGTGTCAGTTTGCAACCATGTGTTATATACAAGATAAAATAAAATAAGTTTACAGTATTAAGTACAGTGGTATGTGCATTTATGTATATGAAAGTGTGTGACAAATGCACTTTTTGTTAAGGAAATCAAGTGGAACGACTTAAAAATTTTAACAACAAATAACTTATAAACAGTGATATTGTTTATATTTTTTAGTTATACATGTTTGAGAGGATACCTCCCCTAACATCCTGACCAAGTTTCATTTGTTAATTCCACCTGGTTTTCTTAAAACACAAGCCCACCCAAAATTTTCGCCTGCGGCGCTTGAAAAAATAACAATACTTCGACAAATACATAATGATAAATTTTCGCCTGCGGCGCCTATAAAACTCGATAATTCGATAAAGAATGAATGAATGTGAATACAAAAACCCACACTTTTCTCATCATCTGGTAGCACGAATATATGTGTGGGGAGCTCCTGGCTCGTCACGATGTTAGCGCAGGTCCCACTACCAAGTTCCTAACGCCACTTGGTATGTCAGTAAATGTTTACACACCGGTTGTGTTTTTGCGCAGCAAACTCTTCAGTAGCTTTAATTAAATTATTGCTATTACAAAATTAAGTATCAAATAATCTATATCTTCGCGAGGTGAGTAGCACTCGTGTACATGTTTTTCGAATGGTTACCAAGAAAGCGTAAAAAGGAAAACAAAGATAATTAAATATCTACATTCTAGAATTTTTCAGGAAAAAGAATGTCAATTTGAAAACGAAACATGATTAAAACAGTGTTACCAGACTTTAAATACAAGTATATCTCAAACTAAGTTTTAATAGCTAATAGTAGGGTGACTAACTTTTTTGCCGCCACATCTACTCCCTCTTCAGATTCATCGTTAGATGAAGTCGACGAAACGTTTCGGAAAATTCACCCTACAACTTCACCCAGGCAACTTTAAATTTTCTCCGTATACCATTTCTGCTGGCGTCGCTCCCAAATCTTCTTTATAAGTTGTACGAAGTCCTAATAACGATATGGGAAGGCAGATGATCCAATTACTATCAGTGTGACACTTGATTGCTATCTTTAGCGTCCTATGCATGCGCTCAATCAGACCATTCGCTTGAGGATGGTACGCAGTTGACCTAAAGTGCTTAGCGCCAACCAGGTTCGTCAACTCTTTGAATAACCTCGATTCAAATTGTTTACCCTGGTCGGTGGTAATGGCAGCCTGCACACCAAAGTGCGCTATCCATCCGTGTAACAGTGCTTTGGCAACAGCTTCAGCCGTAACGTCTTGCATGGGTATTGCGGCAGGCCATCGAGAAAATCGATAAATGTAGGTTAAACAATACTTGTACCCTTCTGACAGGGTAACGGTCCAATAATGTCAATATTGATGTGACGAAATCGTTTCGAGGGCACTGCAAAATTGTCTAGTGCTGTGCGATTGTGCTTCCAGGTCTTTGATTCTTGACACTGCAGGCATGAAGATACCATGTGGCCAATCTGTCGTTTCATACGCGGCCATACAAAGCGCTCTGTCACCAACCGAATCGTCGACCTCTTTCCGGATGACTAATGTTGTGAACCGACTCGAAGGCTTGCTTACGAAATTTCTCTGACACGTACGGGCGCACGTTTTTGGTTGATACATCGCATATGACCGTTAAGTTAGTGCCTGGTATTTTTATCGGCTGTAGTTGAAGTGAAGTGTTTCTCATGAGTTGTTGGAGTTCCACGTCGTTTACTTGCTCTCGGGCTAGTTGTTCAAAATTAATTTGTTCGCCACTGAAGATTGACTCTACGCGAGACAACAGATCCGCCACAACGTTTGCTTTTCCGGACACATGTCGTATGTCGGTAGTGAATTCGCTGATGAAGCAAAGATACCGCGTCTGTTTCAGAGTAGTTTTGTCGGGCTTCTGCTGAAAAGCAAATGTGAGTGGTTTATGGTCGGTGAGTATTGTGCACTGACGGCCGTCGATAAGGTATTGAAAATACTTGACGGACTGGTACATGGCGAGCAACTCCCGATCGTACGTACTTTGTCTTTTTAGCGTTTTTGGCATACGTTTTGAGAAAAGCATAATGGGTACAACGCACCATCTCTTAGCTCTTGGATCGCTGCACCTACACAATAACTACTTGCGTCTACATGGAGTACTAATTTGGCATTTGGCGATGGGTGTACAAGTAACGTTGCATTTGCTAAATCACGTTTGCATTGTTGAAATGCTTCTCTCGCCTCATCATTCCAACTNTTCCGGACACATGTCGTATGTCGGTAGTGAATTCGCTGATGAAGCAAAGATACCGCGTCTGTTTCAGAGTAGTTTTGTCGGGCTTCTGCTGAAAAGCAAATGTGAGTGGTTTATGGTCGGTGAGTATTGTGCACTGACGGCCGTCGATAAGGTATTGAAAATACTTGACGGACTGGTACATGGCGAGCAACTCCCGATCGTATGTACTTTGCCTTTTTTGCGTTTCTGACATGCGTTTTGAGAAAAAACCTAATGGGTACAACGCACCATCTCTTAGCTCTTGGATCGCTGCACCTACACAATAACTACTTGCGTCTACATGGAGTACTAATTTGGCATTTGGCGATGGGTGTACAAGTAACGTTGCATTTGCTAAGTCATGTTTGCATTGTTGAAATGCTTCTCTCGCCTCATCATTCCAACTGATAGGCGTTTTATCTCGCTTTTTATTCCCTTTTATCAACTTGAGGAGTTTACCCTGTGACAAGGCAGCGTTCGGCAGCGGGCGACGATAAAAATTGAGCATAGCGACAAACTGTCTCAATTCGTGAGCTACAGTGGGCATTTTGAAATTGGCGATAGCTTCGACCTTGTCAGCTGGTGGAGAAATGCCATCTTGCATCACTTTGTAACCTAGGTTTTGAGAAATGGCATTTAGAAACGTTTATTTTTAGGTTGTTATCACGTAGCCGCTGAAGCACTTTGCGCAAGTGAGTCGCATGTTCTTACTCCATGTCTTAGAATGTATCGTTCATAAAGCGTTGAGACGTCTGACTCGCATTGCGCAAACCGAATGTCATTACATTAAACTCAAATATCCCGAAGTCGACTTGGAGAAGCTTTGTTCCCTAAGTTTTTATCGGAGTACCATTAGCTGCATACAGGCTGTGGTTTAAGTCTAACTTCTCGCTCTTTTGTGGTGGGACTACGGAGAAATCGTCGCCGGTGTCAATAAGGAAACGACGATTTGTTTTTCGATCATTTATGAAAAGACGACGACTTTCAGTTAAATTAGCTCTGTGCGTCGTCTCTGCTAACACAGCTTCCTTCAGTTTTCCGTCATGTCTAGCTTCTTGAACTGGCATGGTTCGACGCATTTTTTTGCTTTCACACCAAAACGCCAATGATATTTGCAAAACGGAAAACGTGGACGCGACTGGCTTTTGTCACGAGTTTTTGTACCTCTACTCTGATTGCGTGGTGCTCGAGAAACTTTGAGTTCGTCTATTTGAGCTTGTAGCTGTTGTATCTGCTTACCGAGTGTAGGCTCGCCACGTATGGCTGATACATTCGAAAAATTTAACATTTCCATCATTTGGTCCGCTTTCCGTGCCATGTCTGTTGAATTACCCGTGCCAATTGATATCACCGCACGTACATTATCAGGTAAGCGTTTAAGCCATAGCGATTTTAGAAGTTTATCTCCGGCCAATTCTCTCATCCGTTTCAGCAGTTAGTTTAGGCTTTAAGTCACCGAGTTCACTTTCTTTAATTAGCTTGCGTATTTTTCGCTAATCAGCGTCGGCATATTCAGCAATTTTTTCACTGCCTCGTATTTATTTGCTGCCGGCGCAAAGCAATGTCAGCAATTTGCATTATTGCCTCCGCATCTAAAACTATGTTCTCATTACCAACATAAAATACTTAGTTTCGTTTAAAATACCTAACTAAATTAAGTGCGTTCATACACGCGATTCTTTATTTGTCTTGACGCTTTGTAGCAACCCTGTGTTATTGTTTATTTAACCAAAAGAGATCGCGAATGTGAGTAATTGCGTATATTTTTATATTCTGAGTTATTTGTGGTAATTTTTTAGATTTTAGATGAGTGATCAAAAGAGAAAGCTTCTGGAAATATTTTACAAACTACCACGCGAGACAAGGTTTGCAGCGTGTCGCAAACTAAAAAATATTTTATTAGCGTTAAGACGCTCTTTATTGAGTAAATGAAATTACATTTCTGAATCTAAAAAGTTCTTACAAGCTATTTTATTAACTATTTAAGCTAAGTCAGCAAAATTGGTTTGTTTATTGTTCAATTGAAATTATTGGCAATCTAAAAGTGTCGTTGCACTTATTATTACTTCTTTATTGGCAATCTAAAAGTGTCGTTGCACTTATTATTACTTCTTTATTGACAAATTCTTTATTATTGTGCAATACGATGGTACAATGCACTGAAGTATTTTGTTAGGTGTAGCGTTACGCTGACCAGTCAACCTTAATTCGGTTTTCTGTTGGAGTGGAATGGCCAGGTGACGTAACTCCCCCTTCCCTTGATTGAAAACACTCCTGGGTTTTTGTATTTATATTTAATTCAATTGCTTTATGTTTGTTTGTAAAATGGACAAAAATTACGAACAAAGCTAAAGCAATTGCTGCAATGAATGAAATTATTAGCCAAATGTTGATTTGATATTTTTTCTTGTGGTAGGTAAGCTCTTCAATTTTTTTAGCGTTTTCAATTTGGGTAATGATTAATTCATCAAAAGCAGGTTCGAGGTGTGTATGATTAATATTCGATTCAAGGTAACGTATTACATATTTCTGTGTAAATGATTTATTTAAATTTTTATAAGTTTCGTTTTAATTTTAAGTTCACAATTATCGAATGAAATGAGATGAGTTCCTATTAAATATAAGGTTCTTTCGTTACATGTACTATTTATTTCGATTCCTTTTGTATTTTTTATAATTATTAAGCCTTTTTCAATTTCCATAATTTCTTCTTTACTATTTTTAATTTTCTTACAATTTTTCTTGATTACACATGAATTAGAAACTTTCAGATTCTTTTGATATAAATTTTTTGAATAAACATATCTAGTATTATTGATTTCTACAATATGTTCGCTTTTAAATTGTAGTTCCTCTAAATTTTTATTTGCACATGGTGTTATAAATACATGTTTTGCTGTAGTTACATTAGTCGGAATTTTAAGTGAAAATATAATGTTACCTGCGGAGGTGGCTGCTCCTAATTCAATGTTCTCTAACTTAAATATATCGATATTATATCTATTTATCTCTTCCGGGGTTAGAATGTTGCTGGACATTAAGTTTAGTCTAGCAGATGCTAAATTATTCTGAATGTGCTCTATGCTATTACTGAGTGTCCTAATCCTTAGCAGTATGTCTAGATATAGGAGTTGCCTATGGATTTCTCGATTTTCTTGTTGAATTGAATTAAATTTAAGGGCTATTTGTCTTCTATCTGATTCTATAGCTTTTTGGATGCTTTGGAATGTTTTGTTGAAATTATCGTTAATTTTTATATTCTTATTTAAGGTATCTATGGCAATATGGTTGTTCGTATCCATAACTTTGAGATGCTCCTCTATATTCTGTCTATCATCGTCGTCCATAGTTCCATACAACCATTTCATTGTTGTACCTAATATGTTAATTAATCCTCTTTTTTGTTTATGTGGTAATAGTGTGTAAAGTTTACTCCGTAATGTTGTGAATTCCTGAGTCAGAATTTGTTCTTTCTCGGTCAATTTAGAGTCTCTAGCTAAATTTTCTAGTGCGTCAATTATATTTTCTATTTCCTGCGGTCTGATTATGTGAAGGATGATGTCAAAATCTGTGATCACTTGTACGTTTTCAAGTTTTATTTCGGCGAGTCCGTCTTCGTTTTTGATGTCTTCAGTTATCATTGTTGCCGTTGCTCCCATTATCAGCATTACGAAAATTAGAGGCATTGATATCGATAGCACCTGAAAATTTTCCTGGTCTTTTAATGTTACTTGTATGGGTGTTTTGAAGTGGTAACTTTCTGTATCTGGGTTCGTGCTTATGTCTAACAGCTCTATAATTTCTCACGTGTCCACTGCTTCTATTTTCAGTATAACTCTCTCTTTTCGTATTCATTTTGTTAATGATTTTCTCTTTAGTCCCTTTTATCCTATCGTAGATTATTTTTTTATCAATTTTTCCTGAGGCTACGTCTGAAGGTGTTGCTTTCAGAGTTGAATGGATATTATTGTTATAGGTCTGAATACATTTGTACATCTTCTCTCTTGTTGATAAAGTTCGGGATTCTAGTTCTATGATTCTAAATTTTTCTCCTATCGTATTGTGAAACCTTTCGATGTCCGAGTTCCCTGTATGACTATTGGGTTTGGTAAAATGAACTTCGACACCTTCTTCTCTTAAAAAGTCCTTTACGTTTACGGAATTAAATTCATTATCAGTTATAAATAGTCTAGGCTTCCCTCTCATAGCGAAGTACATTCGTAAAGTTTCGACGAATGTGATGCTATTTTTGTCTTCTAAAAAGAGTGCTACTGCGAACTTAGAAAATTTATCAATGAAGGTCATGAAGTTGTGTTTTTTAATTGTGTAAGTATCTAGGTGTACTACTTCGTTAGTATCCTTGGGTGTTTCTGTTAAATGGAATTTCGGTTTTATTGGCTTCCTATCGTATTTAGTTTGGCAGCATATATCGCAATTGTTTATGAATTTGTGAATAAGCTGTTTTAGATTTTTATAGTATATGAGCCTTTTTAATCCTTCGTAGTTTTCATTGATGCCTGAATGGCCACTTTCTGTGAAGTGATAGTTTTTAATATATCTGAAGGCTTCATCTTCATCCCGCATGTCTTTGGCATGATGTGAGCATTTGAAGAATTTTATTCTTCCATTAAATAATTCTATCAATTTTTGTTGTACGGTATTATATTCACTATCAGGGAGTTCGGAAAAAATTCCTACCTTTCCTGATTTCAGGTATCTTCGGAAAATGTCAGACATAAAACCGCTATTTATATCATCTAGGCTGATAAATATTTTCCTTTTCCTGTCGATTATTTCTATCTCTTGATTCTTATGCTCGGTTAAAATTATCTGGGTATGGAAACGGTTGACCACTGTATCCAGAACGGGAAAGTGATCATTGATTTCCTCTTCTTGGGAATGTATTGTTGCACAAGTGCTTATGTTGTCTATGTTATCCTCTACCTGTTCATTTGATTTTGCTAAGTAGATTTCACCTGTATCATTATTTATTCTACTTAGGAAATCGGCTAGGGTATTTTCTTTACCTTTAATGTAGCCGATATTGATATCGTATTCGCCTAGTTTAAGTATCCACCTTTGCAACCTTGGATTGATATCCTTCCCTTTGTATTTTGTCTGTAGCCACTTGAGTGGTTGATGGTCGGTCAGTAAGTCAAAATTCCTACCATAGACATAGGGCCTAAAATAGTTAACTGCCCATACTATAGCAAGAAGTTCTTTTTCTGTGGTTGAGTACTTTTTTTCATGCTCATTCAAGGTTCTACTTGCGTAGCATATTGGATGTCCTGCTTGCATCAGTGCACCCCCTATGGCATAATCACTCGCATCTGTGACGATTTCAAATTTCTTTTTGAAGTCCGGGTACTTCAGCACCGGTGGAGAGGTTAGTAACCTTTTTAATTTATAAAAGGCATCCATGTATTGTGTATCATGGACGTTTACTTTCACATCCTTCTTTAGATACTTCGTCATAGCTTGAGCTATTTTAGCGTAATTTTTTATGAATTTACGGTAGTATCCAGTTGCTCCTAGAAAGGATTTTATCTGTTTTGCTGTTTGCGGCAGCTTGAGTTTTTGAATTGCCTCCACTTTGGTGGGGTTTGGCTTGACTCCTTCTGTGGTCAAGATGTGTCCTAAATATTCTGTGCTTGTAGCGAAGAAGTTACATTTATCGATTTGAATTCTAAGGTTGTGCTGTCTTAATCGATTGAAGATTTTTCTTATATTCTCCATGTGTTCTTCAGCGGTTGTGCTAAATATAAGGATATCGTCTAAGTAAACGACGCAAATTTTATTAATGTAGTCTCTTAAGACTGAATTCATTAGCCGTTGGAAAGTGGCTGGGGCATTTTTCAATCCGAAGGGCATACGAACAAACTCGTAGTGTCCTAGTGGTGTGGAAAATGCGGTTTTCGCCCTGTCTTCTTCTTTAATAAGAATCTGGTGAAAACCCTTGGCCAAGTCCAATGTTGTAAAATATTGGGCTCTTCCCAATTTCTCTAGTATATTTTCAATATTTGGTATGGGAAATTTGTCGCTGACCGTAATGTCGTTCAAAGCTCTATAGTCTATAACGATGCGCCATTTCTTTTTGCCGGATTTGTCCACTTTTTTTGGGACGATCCATAGTGGAGAGTTATAAGGTGAACAACTTTCCCTAATGATACCATGTTCTAACATCTCTTTCATTTGATTGTTTATTTCTTCTTCGTGGATTTGAGGGTAGCGATAAATTTTAGAATATACGGGCCTATCAGTTGTTGTGATGATTTCGTGTTTTACCTCATGTGTATGCGAAAGTCTTTGTCCTTCCTGAAAAAATAAGTCACCATTGTCGTCTACAATTGTCTGTAATAATCCTCTAACTTCATCATTCATATCTTCACGTAATAGTTTTTGCATAAAAGTGTTATCTATCTG